ATTAAATTGAGTGTCGAAACGTTTGGAATCAAGGATTAATTTACAAATCTTTGTTTTTTATTATTTGATGTATCGCACGGCAAGAACTTACTCATGTATATATATATATATATATATATATATATATATTGATTGTTTCTTTTCTGAACAGTAAATCCAATAATAAAAAACAATTTGTTTTCTGAAGATGTTTAATACGACGTTTCGGAACTAGGTACGTTCCATCATCAGGTTTATTCTGTCAAATACAATGTTTTTTTAAAAATATTGATTAACATTAATTAATGATGGTCAATACAGATTAATTAGAAATTTTTTTTTTTTAATTTTAATCTGTATTGACCATTATTAATTAATTGTATTTGACAGAATAAACCTGATGATGGAACGTACCTAGTTCCGAAACGTCGTATTAAACATCTTCAAAAAACAAATTGGTTTTTATTATTGGATTTACTGTTCGGAAAAGAAACAATCAATATAATGAAAAAATCCAGGTCTTATCTATTGAATATATATATATATATATATATATATATATATATATATATATATGATAAAAATTGTTTCTTGGGCATCCATCCAATAATTAAAAAAACAGTTTTAATGCAAAATGTTTTAATTAAGAGAACATACGTTTCGGGTCCAGATTTGACCCATCTTCAGTGCATACAAATAAATTTTTTAAAAAAATATAACACAAAGAACAACATAAAAATGTAAACGAAAAAATAAGTATGAAATAAAAAATTGAAAAAACATCAAGTTATGAAAATTGTAAAAATTAAAATAAATAATATGTTTTATTGTAAAAAAGGTTATTCCAAAAACACATCTTGTTAGTTTGGAGACAGAATTACGTTACAATTTTCATAACTTGATGTTTTTTCAATTTTTTATTTCATACTTATTTTTTCGTTTACATTTTTATGTTGTTCTTTGTGTTATATTTTTTTAAAAAATTTATTTGTATGCACTGAAGATGGGTCAAATCTGGACCCGAAACGTATGTTCTCTTAATTAAAACATTTTGCATTAAAACTGTTTTTTTAATTATTGGATGGATGCCCAAGAAACAATTTTTATCATATATATATATATATATATATATATATATATATATATATATATATATATATCAATAGATAAGACCTGGATTTTTTCATTATATTGATTGTTTCTTTTCCGAACAGTAAATCCAATAATAAAAACCAATTTGTTTTTTGAAGATGTTTAATACGACGTTTCGGAACTAGGTACGTTCCATCATCAGGTTTATTCTGTCAAATACAATTAATTAATAATGGTCAATACAGATTAAAATTAAAAAAAAATTTTTCTAATTAATCTGTATTGACCATCATTAATTAATGTTAATCAATATTTTTAAAAAAACATTGTATTTGACAGAATAAACCTGATGATGGAACGTACCTAGTTCCGAAACGTCGTATTAAACATCTTCAGAAAACAAATTGTTTTTTATTATTGGATTTACTGTTCAGAAAAGAAACAATCAATATATATATATATATATATATATATATATATATATATATATATACATGAGTAAGTTCTTGCCGTGCGATACATCAAATAATAAAAAACAACGATTTGTAAATTAATCCTTGATTCCAAACGTTTCGACACTCAATTTAATGTCATCATCAGTGGCTCTAAAAACAGTGTAAAAATTAATATAACTGTGGGAATAAAAGAGGCCATGAGTTTGGAAAAAAACAATTTTTATGCCATGACATTTTGTATAGTTTTGATAATGATATATTTTAATACATTTTTATATAACAGAAATATCCTTTTCTAAATTTATATATTTCTATACTGGGAAGATAACATTTGATCATGGATTAAGAATTGAAAAAAAAGACTTTGGTGCAACGCCCTAATCACTGGTCTTCCGTTGGCTACTTAAAAGGTACGCCCAGTCCTCGTGTCATCTCGGGTTAACGCATTTTCTCTAGCCATGACACCGGACTTCCGTTGGCATACTCATTCTGTATGCCCAGACCTCAGGTTATTGCTTGCACCAAAAAGTTGAATCGCAATACAACCTCTCCTTGTCTATTAACTCACCAAAGCGTCTTTTGATGCTTAAGACTTTGGATCTGGATCTGGATTTATGTTATTTTTAGAACTGGATTTAGATACTTCATCCAAGTTGTCCTCATCGACTCCAGTCATTCAAAGATTAACATCTTATGAAGGTTTAGGCAATTTAATCCTGCACTATTGAATCAACTGCCCTCATCGACCCCAACTGTCCGAGATACTCCATCGACAATTTCGTATAATGTTTTACTAACTTCGATGATTATGCCAGATGACTCTTATCCAGTTGTCGTGGACTACGATTGGTTCATACCATCATGAATTTGAGAAAAGCTTTCATGTCCTGAAATATGTAAAATACAAATCTCTTTTGCAATCTGTGTTGACGCCTTACTCAAACGTGGCCCAATAAAATAATATTATTATATTTTATTTCTTCCATACAGGATAGTAATAATGGACCCTCATCCCTTATTATGGAATTTTGAAATATTAAATATCTCATTGTCATGCATCCTGTCTCTAAATATATTCATACCATTAATCG